ATTTACCCAATTTTCATACAATTTATGAAGTAGAGATCCTATTCAGAAGTAATATGAGAAGTTTGGCAGATTTTGATATGAATTCAACCTCTTAGAAACACATACAAAGAACATGCATGCGTGTTATAGCTTGCCACATCACAAATAGTGACTTTATTATTATTTTTCGTCATATTTAAAACATTTTCAGACCTTTTTTTTTCTAAAATAACTGAATGGATGCAATCTTTTGAACCTTGGCATGAAAACAAACTGAGGTTTCTACATTTTTTTCCATGTTCGTCACTTTTCAAAATAAAAGTCTAAACACGCCTTGGGAGTATGAAAATATTCTTGTTGCAAATTAATAAATTACGGCTCCTGTGTCATTTATTATATATTCCAAATATGGAAAGTAGAGATTGTAAGCTTTCAAATGATATATCGTTTGTGAATATTACTTCAGGTCTTTTCTAAGATATTATTGTTTTAAAAATATAATGGCAAGCGTCCCACAGTGGGACGTGACGGACGGTTAAGGGGTTAAAAGAAAAGTTTGATGTAAATGGAGCAAATTATGTCTAAAAACTTAATTCTGAAGATTAAAAAGGAGAAATTCCTTCAATTATTAGTCTAAAATGAACTCATATTAAGCGTCTGTAATACAGCATTTCCTCTAATTTTAGGACCATTCCTTTAAAGGTCATGTGACTTCCACTGATGTGAACTTTCATCACGTCTACAATGAAACCCATTACTTTAAACAGATTATATGATTTATGACAGTGATTCTCATAGCGGTCGGAATAAATGAAATTGAACGATTATTTCACTCCAACTGACGGCTGGAAACATTCAGTGTCAATGCTGTGTTTGCTTTTCGACTAAAACCTCTTCAGTCTGCAGGATTTGATGGATGTCTGTAAATAGCCTATAGTAATTATAAATTCTTGGATGTGATTCCGTTCTCTCATTGAAACAAAGAGGTCAGTGTGAGGACAAAGCTTTGATTCTTCATCATTAAAGCCTGTAAAGAGTTCATGCATCTCGCGTCTAATGCCCTTCAGTCTTCAATAGAAACATTGATCTCCATATTACTTTAATGGAAAGAGAAACAGCGCCTCCTGATGGAGAATAATAGATACTCGTGAAAACTCGCTTGCTTGCTCATGACATTTTAATGGAGAAAGTATGTAAAAATGAGGTACAAGTATATGATTTAAAAGAAAATAAAAGCAATATTAAATCAAAGTATGCATTGATTTTCATTTGGATCAACTCACAAATATCATTTTTATATTGTAATATACTCATGTTGTAATCATTTCAAGCACAGGTTTAGGGTTAAACAGGGAATACAAGTCAGTGGGAAATTATTTGTACTTTATCATTACAAGTATCCAAATTACATATTATCTTACACTCTAACAATCCTGGGTTGTTTTAACCCAAATGTTGGGTTAAAAAATGTAATTTAGAATTGTATCCCAACTTCAACTTTCACTTTCAACTGTACATTTTGTAATTACATTAGTAGCCCTCAAACTGTATTTACTTTATAGCCCTTAATCCTGTAATTTTGGACAAATGTGGTCACAGAGGACTCAGGTGTGATCTTAATTTTTATTTATTATAAATGTTATATCACTGTCTTCGATAAAGTTTTGTCTATCCATTTATAGTCTTTTTTTCTATTTTGGGGGTATTTATGAATTTATTCACTTCGAAAAGTACCATATTTTCTATGTAAATTATGCTTATTTTTATGTTTTATTATTTTAATTTTTTTAACTACATTAAAATATCATTCCAATAAGTTCTTAGAGCTAAAACCTAAAGATGATGTGACTTTGTCACCTGGTATCTTATTTTGAAATATATTTCATTATATATATATATATATATATATATATATATATATATATATATATATATACTGTATATATATACACACACACACACACACACACAGTTTTTCCCATTCATTTCTATGCCCATTTTTGACCCAAATACAAGATTAAGGAGTTTGTTTTTTCCACCCACGACTTAACATTGTAGAATTGAGTCAAAAAAAAATTGAGTGTGTTCAGGAGGCAGACTTAGGAAAAATAGCCAAGTCTTGTAGCGCTCAGATCAAGGGAAGTATTTTTTAAAAAATAAATCAAAACTATTTTGCCCACATTTGTACAGAATACAGTTTTAGGGTTAACCCAACACTTGGGTTTGTCTACATTTGACCCAAATTTGGTAGAAACGTGTTGAAATTTTCATCCAAAAATATACTATATGACTTTCTATAGTCATCTGCAGCATTCCCAGACACGATTCTCTTCACATGACGTTTGTTATTGGCTGGCTGTGAGTCGAACCCACGACAAAACATATTTATATCTTAAGAAAATGCATAAAAATAGCAACGTTTAACTGCAAAAACCTATCGTCGCTCTCCCAAGAACCCCATTGTTAGTCACTTCACTTCGAGACTAGTAGACAGACACTCGTTCGATTTCCAACATTTAGGAATGCAAAAGCAAATAACCTTTAAAAACATTCAAATAGAATATTTATCCCCAAAATGATCCCTTACATCTCATAGTTTGTCAATCTAGCCGGGTTTCAAGCATGTTTATGAATGATATCGAGTTGATGTTTACTGCTTCTCAATATCTCTCCAAACCTCTCCCTCGGGAAACTGATGCTTTCGCACGGATTCTTCCAGCATTTCACAAGAGAATCCAGGATCCTGAAGATGTACAAACACTTATTTATTCTGCTATTATTTATCCCCACTTTTCATTTTATACAAGTTTGTCCAAATGGAGCTCAATATTTTATTTATTAGGTTACACTTTATTTTAAGGTCCCCTTGTTAGAGTGTAATCATACATTTAAGTAGCGAGTAATATTAATTTGAGGGTTAGTTGCATGTAATTATGCATAATTTACTGTTATTACTAGGGATGGGCAATGATTAATCGCGATTAATCGCATCCAAAATAAAAGTTTGTGTTTATGTAATATATGTGTGTGTGGTGTGTATAATTATTTTGTATATATAAATACTAACACATGCATGTACATATTTAAGAACAATGTGTTCTTAATATATCAAATATTTATATTTATACATAATATTAATTATTAATTACGTATAAATAAATATAAAGTATATACATGCAAATATTTCTTAAATATATACATGCATATATATACAAAATAATTATACACACCACACACACATATATGACATAAACAAAAACTTTTATTTTGGATGCGATTAATCGCGATTAATCGTTGCCCATCCCTAGTTATTACTGCATGTGGCATATATAACAAGTGTTGCCATTCATTATTGTTTTTGCATTGTAATTTTACTGACGGTTAAGAATAAATATTTTCATTTAAAATTATGATATGATGAAGATTATATTTTATTACATTATACAGTTATAATGTAGTCGTTCATAATTAAAGTTCATAATGTATAAACGTAATAGCATAGGCCAGTTACATACACAAAAATGTATGTTATCATCATGAGCTCATCATTTTATCACATTATAAGTATTTTTACATTACTAATATTAATTACATTTGACTTGTCTCATTTTATTCTGCTTTGCTGGCTTATTTTTCTAACTGCATGGCTAAAGTATTTCCAGATATCAGTTCAGAAAGCTATTTCAAAGAGCCTTCACAGCAAAAACCACAGACACAGATCAATATAAACTAGCTCTACACACACACACACACACTGTTTCAGGGAGAAATGTGTGTAACTGTGGCATAGTAAAAGTGATTCAGACTGAGATTTTCATTTATAGTGCCGGCATTTTGCTCACCTGTTCCTCTGTGTGCATTTTAATGTGATTTTAAAAGAAATAGCATAAGATATCCCTAGCTGTGCGAGTTTTCTTCTTTAACTCACCACTGGTGGCATGTAGTGGGCATTTCTGATGACGGTGGGGCTTCTGAAGTGTTCATGCAGATGATCCACATACTCACACATCCTGCAATACATACAAAGCAAAAACTCAATGAACGACCTTCTTTATGCTCAATCAGTTCATTACTTAATTTTTCACTTGAAAATCTTCACTTCATTGACCTTCCACTAAACACAATTAGCTGTTTGCCCTTATTTTTAATATATCAACATGATTTCGACCAATATTTTGAAGTCTAGGATGTTGCAGTTTAGCAAGGGATGGTGGTTAGTGAGTTATCAACTCTTAGTGAAGTGACCAGCATTTTTTCTCCATATAATGGACTTCATTGGGGTCCAAACGGTTCAAAGTCCAAATGAGAGATGATGAATAAGGGTCTTATCAAGCGAAACGATCGCTCGTTTAAAAAATAAATAGAAAAGTTGAAGTTTTATAAGCTCAAATGCTCACTCTGTTCTGTGATGCGCGTTTGTGGCTCTCCTGTTCGAACTCGTTCATCAAAATGAACAGAGTCAATTCGTTCGCTTTGTTCGTTGAATCAGACTCAGAGAACCGTTGGGTAAAGCGGTCATAGCCGTGTTTTATCATGTCTTAAAGCACAACTATTGACCAATCAGAATCAAGGATTGGAACTAACCATTTTATAAATTATATATACATAAATAAACATATAAACAAAATATATTTATATATATATATATAAAGTAAAATCAGATTGAGATGAGGTGAAATCAAAGCCAAAGCCTATTAGCCTAATCACATGCAGCTTTCTGAAGACTAGTTTAGTCACAACCCACCAACTAGTCCATTTTGAACAGTTTTACCTGGCTATTACAGGTATTCATAGTTTATTATTAATATTAATAACACTTATTACCAGCAATAGGACGTGGAATACAGTTACTGTTATGGTGCCCTTTTGAGCTCAACATATCCATTGATTTTTGTTTTATAGACAGAAAATCTCTTACAATAAGATCTCATTTGTCAATGCATCAACAAACATGATCTAACTGTGAGCAATGCATTTGTATACAACATAATTAATCTTAATGTTAGTTAATAATTAAAAAAAAGGTTAGTTTTACAGTGCATTAACTAATGTTAACAAATACAACTTTTGCTTTTAAAGACGTAACAAATTAATAATAATTATAATATGATGATGGTGTGTAAATGACAACATCAGTTTTAGATGAACTATTTCTTTCAGTAAGCATCAAGGCTTTCAAAGCATTAGGGAAAACACACATACGTGTTCAATACACACACCTGTTGCTTAAACTAGCAGACACAGAAATGTAGTCGAACAGAATGAGGTGTTGAACGAGCTCGCACAGTCCCACACCCCCGGCGTGAGGACACACGGGAACTGCAAACAAGAACACATGCACTCCTGGATTTCACAGACAAGCAAATGAGACGTGTGTGGATAATATTAACATTCGATGTACCATTAAACTTAGCAGCCATGAGTATGATGGCCAGGTTTTCATTGACACTGCCCACCCTACAGCTGTCAATCTGAACAAACTGTAGAGCCGAGGCCTGGAGAAACTGCTTGAACATCACTCGGTTATGGCACTGCAAACAAGCACACGCATATATAGTATGCAATCTCAAAATGAACTTAAAGAGATAATTGACTTTAATCTACGCAACACAAAAGGAGAGACTTTAAAATAACCCGATAATGGATGTCCTTAAATAGTTTTGGTAAATAAATGATGAAATATCCATTTGAAATGACAAGATTTAAAAAAAAAAACAGATTTCAATAAAAGTTATTGAATATTCAACTTTGACACATTAAAAAGAGTCCATAGTTTAGTGGTGGTTCGGCTTCTATTTATGTTCACTGATCAATGAACATTGATATATATGTGCCTAAATTCAATCTGTTCATATGTCTAAACTAAACTGCTTATTAATATGATCCGTTTTATGATCATTTGATGTGTAAACGTGGTAGTTGCTTATACTGTCAATGGACGGACTGAAATCTCTCAGATTTTATCAAAACGATCTTCATTTGTGTTCTGAATATGAACAAAAGTCTTACGGATTTGGAACGACATGAGGGAGAGCAATTAATGACAGAATTAATATTTTTGGGTGAACTATCTATAATGATAACGATAAATATAGTTCTGAAAATTATTCTAAATATAAAGAATATCAGAGGCACACCAACACTACAACGATAACGGCCCAAAGGAACGGTGTCGTTGAATACGTTTTTTTTCCCATCTGATGAGCGATAAAAACATTAACAGCCAATCAGAATCCAAACTGCTTTAAGAGCTCACGTATTTAAAGCGGCAGACGACATAGAATAAACTAAATGATAGTTATTATCATTATTATAGTCGTCATTCTTAGAGTGAACGGGCTTTTATACCCAATAAATATACTCTCACCTGCTCTCCAGAGGCCACTCCAATACCGAAGGGTGCAAGTGCCTAAAAACAAGACAAAAACCCTCAAAACCTGACTAACATGGTCTAATAATGGACAAAGTGAACCCGTTTACCTTCGAGATGGAAGCATGACCTAGAATATCATCTGGACACGTGGGCTCCTCAATCCACAGGGGGTGAAACTCTGAAAGCTTGGTTACCCAATTAACCGCTTCGTTAACATCCCACCGTTGGTTGGCATCAATCATCTGACAAAGAAGAGGTCATTAAACACCCCAACCAAACACAGCCTTCTGTTCATAGTCTGGACCAACTTAACATTCAACTGGGTTAGTTCGCCCAAAGATGAATTTACTCGCCCTCAAATAAGCCTAGGTGTATATGATATTCTTCTTTCAGACGAATACAGAGTTATATTTAAAAATCCATCATAAAAGTGCATCTATCCATCATACAAAGGCATCTATCCATCATAAAAGTGTGTCTATCCATGATAAAATGCATTTATCCATGATAAAAGTGCATCTATCCATCATAAAAATGCATCTATCCATGATAAAAATGCATCTATCCATGATAAAATGCATCTATCCGTCATAAAAGTGCATCTATCCATGATAAAATGCATCTATCCATGATAAAAGTGCATCTATCCATCATAAAAGTGCATCTATCCATGATAAAATGCATATATCCATCATACAAGTGCATCTATCCATCATACAAGTGCATCTATCCATCATAAAAGTGCATCTATCCATGATAAAATGCATATATCCATCATACAAGTGCATCTATCCATGATAAAAGTGCATCGATCCATGATAAAAGTGCATCTATCCATCATAAAAGTGCATCTATCCATCATAAAAGTGCATCTATCCATCATAAAAGTGCATCTATCCATCATAAAAGTGCATCTATCTGCCATTAAAGTGCATCAATCCATCATAAAAGTGCATCGATCCATGCATCTATCCATGATAAAAGTGCATCTATCCATCATAAAAGTGCATCTATCCCTCATAAAAATGCATCTATCCATGATAAAAGTGAATCTATCCATCATTAAAGAGCATCTATGCTCCATTCACTGCCCTTATGAAGCTTGGAAGAGTCAGGACATTTATTAATTTAACTCAGATTGAGTTCGTCTGAAAAAAGAAAGTCATATACACCTAGGATGGCTTGAGAGTGAGTAAATCATGGGCCAATTTTCATTTCTGTGTGATCTACCCCTTTAAGCTAATTCAGATCAGGCTGAAATATCTATCTACTGTTATATACACATTTGACTGAGAATCACCAGGGTGTTGTCTGGTCCAATCAACTTTCGGATAAGGCTGCATCTACGGATGTCGTCCTGCAAATCGGCTCCAACCTTCACTTTAAATTTAGTCCATCCTTGGGCAAGAGCTTCAGAGCAGAGCTATTCAAAGCAAATGATATTTGTTAAGATCACAATATGATGATGATAACAGAAAGCGAACAGCCAAAGAACAGGCGTACCTGGGTAAGCTGCTGGTCAGTGTAGCCCAGCCAAGCACATGAAGTGGTGTAAGCGGGATAGCCTTCCCTTAACATCTGCTCCTCTGCAGGGGTCAGAGGTCACATCAAATCAAGCAATAGATAACATCATACTGCAAATTGTAAAACATACATTTTCAATACAACAGGCCAAGGAGAGATGATTGAAGCGTGTTTCGTCCGTTTTTATTTTATTTTTTAAATATTCATTTATCGGCCATTATAACTGCCGATATCGATATTATGGAAAATTCCTAATATCGGCTGATAATATCGGCCGGCCGATATATCGGTCTGGCTCTAGTGCACACGGATGCGAAAAACAGCACAGGTAAAAGCGTCATTTAAAAAAAAAAAAGTTTTTTTAGATGTTTTTTTGGTTTGACGCGCCTCGTCAAAAACTATCCGACCAATGAGATTGCTGCTTTTGCTCACGTGTTTGGAGCTTCTGAAGTTACAGTAAAACACAACTTGGGGGCGCTCAAACACAAAACGACCTTGCCAACCACACATACGTAACGGCGAAGAAGATCTACGCCAAGTTGCATCTACACTGCCGGGAAGAAATAAAATGACGAAGATGCAAGGCAAGATGAATGTAGAGTTGCGTCAAACGCATGTGACAAACGCAACTGCGACTTCAAAATAGGACTATTTCTGCTTTACATTAAGCGCCATCTAATGTCAGGGAATGAATTTGCATGTTCACTCAGCTCATCGTCAGAGAAATTTGCTTAGGTGTGAACACAAATAACATGTTGAAAAACGCTGGCGAATAACGCCCGATGTGTACGGCCTTTTACAAGGTAAAACTCTTTCCAAAAAATTTTTCAAAAACAAAACTCATTCTGACCCCAAAGATTTAGCAGAGCATGTATGTGCTTTGATCAAATATGAAAAATTATAAAATGATAAATAAATATGTTTAAACTAGAGCCAGACCGATATATCGGCAGACCGATATTATCGGCCGATATTAGGCATTTTCTAAAATATCGGTATCGGCAGTTATAATGGCCGATAAATGAATATTTCAAAAATAAAATAAAAACGGACGAAACACGCTTGAACCATGTCATGATTGTTGGAGTTGTATAGTTTGTCCACCAGAGGGCACTCTACACCGTCTCTGTTGGCAACACTCGTTGAGTTGGTCACGATACATACATTGCTTGAATAACAATTAAAAGAACATCCCCATCAGTTCTCTTAACTCAAATAAGCATGACAAAATTTATGACTATCATGTCCAGTTTCAAATAAATAAATAAAATATCGGCCGATATATCGAAATATCGGATTTTAAAACCCCAAAATATTTGTATCGGTATCGGCCTTCAAAATCCTTTATCGGTCGGGCTCTAGTTCAAACAGTTTATAGCATTTATGAACTGATCTCACCCCTAGTTTTCTTTCCCGTTTTGGTTTTTTCCAAAATTTCTAAAAGAAAGAGAAAAGACGTATTATTATGGAGTATAAGAAGTAATTCATAATATGAAGAATATCTGATTAAATGACGTCACCTAAAGCTTCCTGCTCCGTCAACGCATCAGTGATATATCGGAAATCAATACAGCTGATCAGCTTCACAGGATCCTAGGCAGAGGATTCATAAACATACTCATAATGCTGAATGTTTAACACATCTATAAAGCACATCAACAAGAGTTTCTTTCTTCACGGTGAGCATCAAAATCAAACTTGGCTCTATTTATTTTTTCTTGTTGTGCACAATTCATCCATTTCTACTGTATTAGGGCTGTCATACGATTAATCGCATCCAAAATAAAAGTTTGTGTTTACATAATATATGTGGGTGCACTGTGTATAATTATTTTATTTATATTAATACACACACATGCTTGTATATATTTAAGAAATATTCTCATGTATATAGATTTATATATAATTTATATTAAATAAAAATTTTATATAAATAATATTTTTTTCTTAAATATACATGCATGTGTGTGTATTTATATATATATACAAAATAATTATACACAGTGCACCCACATATATTATGTAAACACAAACTTTTATTTTGGATGCGAATAATCGCAATTAATCGTTTGACAGCCCTAATTTCTATATTTTTTGACCCATAATAATCTTTCATGGAAAAGTCAGAACTACAATCAGATAAACAAAAATCAGGTCTTGTCTCACATTTTGCTCAATAACCGGATTAACATTTAACAATATGGAAATACAGTTTAACAATTTAACAATATGGAAATATAGTTTCTATATTGCATACTTTCCTTTGTTTAGCATCTTAATTGCGATCATAAAAATCGAGTCCTCACCATGTCAGCGAGCAGCTTCCACAAGGGCTGCAAAACATATAATTCTGAACTTTAATGATATTCTGTATTCATGAATTGTTACGACATCTGTGCAAATTGACAACATGTAAAAGAATCGATGTTGTTGCTCACCTTTCCCTCCACTCGTGCCCATAAATCCCAGACGGCGTTCAGAATGGCTGCCGTCGCCAGCTGGATAACTCCTTTTTCTGGTCCGATCTATCAGTGAGATCATCTGTTGATTCAGCTGAACATGAAGAAGTCTGGAGCGGACGGAAACACACCTGATACTCACCCATCTCATCTGACCATCACTGCTCAGGAGTCTGTAGAAGCCTCTGAAGTCACCGGTGATCTCCTCCAAAGTCTTTCCCAACACCAACGTGGATAGGGCTTTAACTGCACATACGACTACACACACACACACTGATCTAGATTAGTGTAAACTAGGCCTAAAATGGGAATTTCTATCATAATTTGGAACTGAGGGATACTAATGGGAATCCAAAAAGTGAGACATTTAAGCCAAAACAACAGCTCATTTATTGTTAGCAATAATATAAAACACACTGAACTCAAAATCAACGTTGTTCGGTCTGGTTACATCATCACAATGTCACCGTTTTAGCTGAGAATACTTAAATACAAGTATGGTACTGATAAACTGAACAGCATTGTTGGGGAAAGTAAAAGTACTCGTAATTTGTTGTAAATTTAAAAGTAATGCGTTACTCGTTACTAGTGAAAACTAGCGATAGCGTGGACACATACATGCAGACATTATTATTATTGGGGCACTAATATTGGTAAATATTAGCAAAACAGGTCTATCATTCAAAATATTAACCTTTGGTAAAATAGTTAGTCAAATATTCTTATCATAAAAAAATTTTGTTATCTGAAATGTGTTCCCCAATTTTTTGCACTTTATTTAATTCTTTGTGCAACCAAGGTAACATATCTAAGGGTACGCTTACACTAAAACAATGTTCTATAAATGGAAAAGTTTCCTTTGTGTTTTTCTCATCCAGACGACAACGTTGTCAATACGATCCCCATTCACACGGATCCGCGAAAACGGCACAAAACGCTGTGTTCTGCTGCCAGGCCAGTAGATGGCGATGTGACTTTGTACAGAAACACACATGCCTATAGACTGAAAAGATAATACGCATGCGCATGATGTCACCATTTTCACAAATTCGCGTTTTTGTAATTGTACACGGGAATGATAACGTTATCGTTATCAAAAGTGTGCAAAATGCCGTTGTGTAAATTAACTGCCAAAATGCATACAAATTTTTACATTTTTAGTTTAGATCTTTTAGAGGCCGTTTTCACACACCGTTTTTAACTAAAAACTGAAAACTTTATGCGTTTTGGCCATTTTGCGGGCCTGAAAATGCAAACTTTTAGGGTTTCAAAACACATGCTTTTGAGAACGATACCGTTATCGTCTCCTTGTAAACTACAAAAACATGAATTTGTGAAAACGGTGGCATCATGCGCATTCAATCTAGGGTTCAGTCTATAGTTGCGTAGCTTTTCTTTACAAAGTGACTTCGCCATCTACTGGCCTGGCAACAGAATACGGCGTTTTTAGTCATTTTCGTGGTTCTGTGTGAACGGGATCGTATTGACAACATTGTCGTCAATAGCTCTGTTCTGTGATGCGCGTTCGTGACTCTCCTGTTCGGACTCGTTTATCAAAATTAACGAATTTTTTCCCGAGTCATTTGGTTCATTCAACGAACGGTAATGAACGAATTGACTCGGAAAAAGATTTGTTAATTTTGTGAAGTGCATTATATGGAGAAAAATGCTGGAATGTTTTCATCAAAAACCTCAATTTCTTTTCGACTGAAGAAAGAAAGACATGGACATCTTTGATGACATGGGGGTGAATTATAAGCAAAAGTTTTGAATCACATAGTTAAATATGAAAAAGCGGTTGAGTATCCCTTTAAGTCGCTTTTGAGGGGGACTTTAATCAAAGGGGGCTGTGTTAGCAAATGCTAAATATTCATTCTCTGGTCAGTGAACCATTTTTGTGTTGATTTTGAGGTGTACTTTGGATTATCGTCCATAGTTAAAGCTTCTAGTAGAGGCAGGCATGGGTTTAAAATGCTAGTTACTTGAAGGAGTCCATGTTATGATTCACAGATTTTGAATGAAAAATCAAGATAAACTGCAAAGACAGCTGGTTTCGTTCATATTTACAGTTGTTCATTCATAATATACACGTTCATTCGATTGTGAAGGAGTTTTACTTGATGACCGTTTTCTCCAGAGGGTGTCAGGCTCGTGTCGTTATTGAATAAGACATTGCCCTCGCACGCCATGATCATATGACATACAGTATTTGTATAATTGCTATATTTGTGAAGCTCACCGATTTCCGTCCCTCTTCCCACAGTAAAAGTCAAGCCATAACCCTTCAGTTCCGTGTCCGTCTCAAGAACAACATACGCCACCGAGTAATCCGGATCGGTGTGCTGCGAATCAATCACATTCATAACAGCAATGCATTCATTGTCGTTGGTGCGTAATATAAAAACCAGAGAAAACAAACCATTGCATCCGATCCATGTTGTTCTAGTGAAGTCGGGAATCTCACGTCGCGCACGCTCACGTTTATTATTTTGCTTCCAGACATTTTTTTACAGGTGTAAACTTTGTGTTTCTGTTGAGAGCAACACTTCGTTCCACACTCCGACCTAAGAACGCTCTGATTGGCTGGCTTTTCGACAATATTTTCAGGCCGTAATATGATTGGCTGTTTTGGAACGACGTCACAAGTGGAAACAACGTGATCATATGATCGTCAGAAACGAAACCACTGCTGGAATACTGTTGTTGTATGCTATCCTATTTTGTTAATAAAATTAATTAATAAAAAAAAGTCCTATAATAGGATGAATATCTCTGTTGGCGTGAGAAAGCCAACATAGCCTACTTTTTTATTTACATTTATTAGTTACACTTTATTTTATTGTGTTGTTGTCACATGTATTCTATGGTAACAACTATAAAATTAAACATAATTAATAATAGTTTGGAAAATAGTTTGGTCTTGTTTTAAAGAAAACACTCAACAGTTTATTGCTGAAGTGAAAACACTTGAAAAATCAAAGTATAAAACAGTTATGGAAGTTTACATTTACAGTAAATCAAATATACGTATATTTTACTACTATAAAATCAAAGCCATAAATCTAACCAAGTTAAGTTCCATATTTGAAGTTGATATCACACAAATTGCAGTTCCCATGAGATTTTGTATAGGCGTAGTACCAAAAATAGCCACCGGGTGCCATTGAATTCCATTTAATTTAGTTGTATAAATTCTGCCTTTAACAAATTAATACACAAAAATTGTATTAAGTCACAAAATTTGGAACTTTGAGACTCCTTTCTGTCAATATGTGTTTAGTCAAAATTAGAAAAGGTTTTGATCATAAATTCTGAAATTTAATGATGCCCAAAAGGGGAGGAGCCTGATAAAATAAGTACCGTTTCTATGGTAACGCAACGTTCAATTATAAAACGGTTTTCACAGGATGAATTCTGAGTTTGTAAGCTTTCAAATGATACCTAATTTATGATAGCTACTAAAATATGTGAAATAATTAAATAAAAGTTGATAAAAATAATATTATATTTTAGAGGATTATATATATTATATTTTTTTAGAGAATAATGTTATACTATAATTTTTTAGCATTTATTGAAAAATACTAGAATATATGTTTTATTTTGAACTTTTAGCATAAAAACAGAAGTTTCAATGATTAAAAGTGGGTGCATCGACTTTTTGTGATAAATGTCAGACCTCCTGTTATGATGCAGTTTTGAGGTGCACTCTTGTCATAAATTCATTAATTACTCTTCCTACATAATTTGTAACACACAACAGGGGTAGAATATCTATTTAGAAGTCATAGACCTTTCCAACGATTGTCATAATTACTCATAAAAGAATCTTTCAAGACAATTTAAAAATAAAACAAAATGTACTTGCATGACAATATTGATATTTCAGCTCTTTCTTGAGTCAGTTAAATGCTTTATTTTCTTCTTCAGACAGTTCACTTTTACTGATGCTCGACTTTAAAATATTTAGATGAAATATTGTTTCAACATAAATTCAAACAGCACTCAATGTAAAAACGTTTTACATAATATTAAAGTTACATTGTACGTTTATCAAAATAAGCTTAGACCCCACTTTATAATATAGGCTAACTATAATTCATTATATACTGTATACATAAACAGCAATGAACAACATAATCTGAATAAGTTTATTCAACAATAACTCATAAAACAGATGTCCACCCAATTGAACCACAGTAAAATAAAATCGATTCATTTATAAATATATACATATTTTGTTCGTAATTAAGAACACTGCAAAATCATCACTTCAGTTTAAGAATGTAACAAACAGATACGCAGAATAACGATAAAGTTTGCTCGAATATTGTAAAACCATCAGCAGACATTTAATACATTTATCTGGACTAAATCAAAGATTGTTCAACATACAACAATATGAGAGATATCTAAATACATATATAGCAATGGAAAGTGTCATTTGGAAACATGGATTGACTATTAAAACGATGTTGTAACATCACATAAAATTCAAAGTAAATAGTGCCGTTTGAAACACTTTAACTTCACTTCTAAGAAAAACTTTTGCTGATAATTTACTCACCCCCATGTCATCCAAGATGTCCTTGTGTTTCTTTCTTCAGTCGAAAAGAAATTAAGGTTTTTGATGAAAACATTCCAGGATTTTCTCCATATAATGGACTTCAATGGGAACCAAACGGTTCAAGGTCTAAATGAGAGTTTCAGTGCAAACTGTTCAAAGGGCTTTAAACGATTCCAGACGATGAATAAGGGTCTTATCAAGTGAAACGATCGTTCATTTAATAAATAAATAACAAAGTTTAAGTTTTATAAGCTCGCCTTGCTCTGTTTTGTGATTTGCGTTCGTGACTCTCGTTCATCAAAATGAACAAATCTTTTCTCAAGTCAACTCGTTCATTTTGTTCGTTGCATGAACCAAATGACACGAAAAAAGATTAATTCATCTTGATAAATGAGTTCGACATTCGTTCATTTTGATAAACCATTTCGCTTGATAAGACCCTTATTCATCGTCTGGAGTCGTTTAAAGCCCTTTGAACAGTTTGCACTGAAACGCTCATTTGGACCCCATTGAAGTCCATTATATGGAGAAAATCCTGGAATGTTTTCATCAAAAACCTTCATTTCTTTTCGACCGAAGAAAGAAAGACGTGGACATCTTGGATGACATGGGGGTGAGGAAATCATCAGTAAAGGTTTTCTAAAAGTGAACTACTCCTTTATTGTACCTTTTGCATGAAACCCTGTATACATTGCCTTCATTACACGATCAACAGCCAGGTAACTTTCACCCAAACGTGTTTTCAGTAAACCAAATGAGCGTGTCGAGAAGCCTCGGACACGGTTCGTCCTTGAATGAACGATGTTACTGGAAGGCTGAAGCGGCGGCGGCGGACTGGAAGCTTCGGTTCGTGACGACACCTTGAGAGAACTCGTCCTGGGCCTTCTGGAAGCTCGCGCCCGTGTGTCTGTACATGGAGTGCACCTGAAAACACACGGCAGAGTCAGTCAACGAGAGAGTTTCCATCCTAAACCATAATAAAACTAAAATAACTTACCATTTTGAGTAAGACGACGGACAGCATGGCGTTGACAGAGAAGAACGCAGCGACCAGCATCATGAAGACGGACACAGCTTTATTGGTGTTGATCACACTGATGGCCGTGATCCAGCCGCTGACACACAAACATATCAGCACATTACAGATTCATACAGTCTCAGTTCATTTCATATTCAACAATATTATTGATCTGCCTGCAGTGACACCATTATATGAGAACTGAACTGGACGATGATGTCACTGTTTTCTCCAGAATATAAATTTTTTTACAACAAAAATGACTTTTACTTAATAAAAAAAAGGTTCCCTTCATCTCAGTGGACTTTTTATACATTATCTATCTATACTCGCACAAAAAACTGGGCTTGATTCGATAGTTCTGAAGGAATAATAATAAAAAAAATGTTTACACTTCTGGTCTTCGGGGTCAATATGACCCCACATTGAAATGAATGGGAAATGTGAAAAAAACTAAATATATTTTCTTCATATATCAAAAAAAAAAAAAAATTACACAAAAATGAAGGCCTAGTACTAGAGCATAAATGCAATGTATCATAAAAAAATAATATTTCATATGCAAGCTAATGGTGTAGTTGAGTAATTGTGTGGTATATGGATAGAAATGTACTTTATATCTCAAAAAACACAGCATTAATGAATAGGTGAGAAATAAACAAAAAAATAAATGATATATTATTTGCATGATTAAAAATGTATATTGTTGGGGTGTATAGGGTGTATAGACCCCGAAGCCCAGAAGTGTAAACAGGAAACCAAGACCATTTGAAGGTTAAAACAATCAGTATTGTAAAAAGCGCTAAATAAACAAGACTTTCTTCCTAAATCCACGAAACATACAATTTGATCAACTTTTTGGTTTAGGAAGGAATCCCACACCTCTCCCCAGCAAACACACAACTATCTTTGTCAAAATTCAATTGACAAAAGATATTTTTTTAAAAAATTCATAAAATCTCTAATTTTCTAAATAAAAATTTTAAAATAAAAATTTAATTAATAAAATTACATTTTAAATTTTAATTATTAAATTATTTTTTTATTTAATTAAAAAAAATAAACATTACAAAAATTAATTAAAATGTAATTAATAAAAAATAAATTTTAATTTTAATGAATTAAATTTATTTTTTTAAATTTTTAAAAATACAATTTTTATTTTTAATTAAATGTAAAAATAAAATTTCAGCTATCTCTAATTTTAAATGATGGATAGAGATTTGTTGGATATTAATAGCAATGGTAGAGTGTGAATATTAGGGGTGTAACGATACCCTCATGTCACGATATTATTAAACTCACAATAGGACATTTTTGCGATACTCAAGAGATGTGATAAAAGGTTAACATGCTAAATTTGATATTACATTGTGTGTGTGTAAATGAATAGGATTGGATTTCAATGGAAACACGTCAATTTCGCAAAAACTCAGTGCTGGAAACCCAAAGCACAGACAATAGAGACACCAGAATAATAATATTCATAATTCTGAAGCTTATTTTAGTCGAATATGCTTGCACTCTTTCACTGACTAGATGTGTTTAAAATAATGTTGGCCACTTTTTACTGCTAATATCAGAGATTTGACATTATCAGGAGGACCCCCATTGCATTATTATACATTATAATCAACATTATATATATAATAGTTTAATGTAGTACTGACACTAACTCAACTAAAAGCAAAATTTCCATTGTGGGTGAACTATGCACAATATATATATTAATGCACCCCTAATAAACAGTATGAAACTGTAAATGAAAAAGCACATTGCTGAGAAGAGTACAGGACGGGTCAGCAGAAAACAGAGAGAGCCCCGGAAAACCAACACACCGACAGATTATGAGGCGGCGATCTGTCTAAAAACATGCCGAGAGGAAGAACACGTGAAGATTCAGATCACACACTTACTAAAGCAGAGCTGTGCAGAGACGAGACTCACCTGTTTCCCCAGCCAGGGATGCCCACGCTCTGGATGATGTACACGATTACTTGGAATGAGAAAATGAAGAAGAAAAAGAAGAAACTGAAGGAGCTGTCAGATCTGCAATGCAAAACAAAAGAAAAGTTACATTAAAAGTTAAAGTGTAACCTGTTAATAATCACCCCGTCATGATGACTAATATTATGTATATATATATCACTACCAGTCAAAAGTTTTAGATCAGTACGATTTTTAATGTTTTTAAATGAAGTCTCTTCTGCTCACCAAGGCTGCTTTATTTGATGAAAAAAAAAATGACAAACAGTAATATTGTGAAAATGACAGTTTTCTATTTTAATATATTTTAAAATGTAATTTGAAAGCTGAATTTTCAACATCATTACTGTTGCTGATCAGTGTCACATGATCCTTCAGAAATCATATGCTCAAAAAACATAAATTATTATTTTCAATGTTGAAAACAGTCGTGTACCATTTCCCCCCAAAATTCTATGATAAATAGAAAGTTCAAAAGAACAGCATTTATTTAAAATATAATCTTTTCTAACATTATAAATGTCTTTACTGTAACTTTTGATCAATTTAACTCATCCTTGATGAATAAAAGTATTTTCTAATTTCTTTCCCCCAAAAATAAATTCTTACTGACCCCCAAACTTTTGAATGGTAGTGATTAATGTTACAAAAGCTTTCCACTTCAGATCAATTCTGTTCTTTTGAACTTTCTATTCATCAAAGAATCCTGAAATAAAAATGTAAAAAACTGTTTTCAACATCATAAATGTTTCTTGAGCATCATATCATAATAATGTCTGTAGGATCACGTGAGCAAATATGCTGTAAATTCAGCTTTGATCACAGGAATAAATTACACTTCACTATATAGTCACATAGAAAACCGATGTTTTAAATTGTAATAATATTTCACAATATTACTGTTTTTTTTTTTTTTTGTGGAAAAAGCCCAGGTTTTGAAAATATATATTTTATATAAAATATGAATAATTATTTTTTTTACATTGTACATTTCTATAAACTCAAACTTCTATAACTTTTTTTCTGTTTCACTTTCTTAATTTATTTCACTTTTTTGAGAAAAATTTGCCAAATGTCTTCTTTAAAACGAGACCAATCTTACGTCTATATTCCAAAGCATTCTTGAATTACCACCATTTAAGTTTGAAATGAGCATTTCCATGTCTATTCAAAAAAAAAAAGGGGGTGACAGTAAAAATCCAGCAGTTCACACTAATGTTAACCAATACAACCTTTGATTTTAATAACGTATTAGTAAATAATATCAACTAAGATTAATAAATGCTGTTCATTCTTAGTTCATGTTAACTAATGAACCTTATTGTAAAGTGTTACCAAAATAATGCGACGTATCAACAGTGAACTCACTTAAAGGCCTTGTAGACGGGTCGGTACCAGCAGAGGAACGCGACGGGAGTGAACAGAAGAAACCAGAGGATTGCGAGTCCGAAGTCAACTCCTTGTCTCGTGTCTATAGAGAAATACGCCAGACAGGCCAGCAGGTTCAGGAGCAGCGTCACACTGTGATCTGTGGATCAACATGTGGATTATTATCCTCAAATGTTTGCTAACGAGCATTGCTACTGGCATACAACGTACTTCTCAAACTATTTTCAGTATGTATACACTGTAAAAAAATATTTTCATGATTTGTAAACACAACATTTATTCTTTTGTCAAATCAACTTAAATATATTTTGTGGTTCAATAACATAATATTTTGAGTTTCTGATGATTAAATCAATCTCCTTCATTGTATTAACTCAATTTTTCCATTTCAATGAACTTAAAATTTTAAGGCAGCCAGGTTACTTATTTTTTAAGTTAATTTTTATTTTTTTTACAGTGTAGTAGGCACAGTGCACACATCTTTTGCATGCATGGAATACTCGGGTGACATTATTCAGAATGCAAATGTTAAAACATTTTATTTTTACACAAATGCAGACTTAAAAAAATACAAAATACTGCAGCATGATTATAGCAGGAAAGTCTGGGAATTTTAAGTTGCATTTTAAGTTGAATTTGGGGAAACCACTTGAAAAATTTGTTATATTGAGCAATTTCAATTGCTCTTGTTTGATTTGTTCATCGCAAACGGCTGAAAGTCTGTACATTTTGGCAATAAACATGATTTGCAATGAGGGTTGAATACTTTTGATTGTATTCCAACACGTCTGTGTGTTCACTTACACATCCAGAGGTAGTACATCATCTTGCAAACCCGCTGATATTCCACGGGAATTTCTTCACTAAAATCCTGATAAAAGCAAGGTTTTATGGGGAGAAACTTGGGTAAAGGTGGCCAGTTGTTCTCTTTACCTGCAAGCAAACATTCAGAGTGAGATCAGTGCTGGAGAATTCATTAAGAGCTCATTGTTTCTGCAGTCAATTATTACATTCTTTAAATTAATACATTTGTAGCTAACTGTGATTTTGGATTTCTGAAATACATAACTTCGACAGTCACCTCTGATAAGTACGGAGGCGTACTGCATTCACTTGAAGAAAAAAAATCTACTCTGTTTTTCTGAATTAACGAGTTAATTTTTCATGAGAACAAAAGTTTTTGCTCTGTTTTTCTGAATTAATGAGTTAGATTTTCATGGATTTTTTTTTTTTTGCTGTTTTTCTGAATTAATGAGTTAATTCAGAAAAACAGCAAAAATAAATTCTCATAAAAAATTAACTCACTAATTCAGAAAAACAGAGCAAATTTTTTTTTCTCATGAAAAATTAACTCGTTAATTCAGAAAAAAGAGCAAAAACTTTTTTTCTCATGAAAAATTAACTCGTTAATTCAGAAAAACAGAGCAAAAACTTTTTTTCTCATGAAAAATTAACTCATTAATTCAGAAAAACAGAGCAAAAACTTTTTTTCTCATGAAAAATTAACTCGTTAATTCAGAAAAACAGAGCAAAAAATTTTTTTCTCATGAAAAATTAACTCATTAATTCAGAAAAACAGAGCAAAAACTTTTTTCTCATGAAAAATTAACTCATTAATTCAGAAAAACAGAGCAAAAACTTTTTTCTCATGAAAAATTAACTCATTAATTCAGAAAAACAGAGCAAAAACTTTTTTTCTCATGAAAAATTAACTCATTAATTCAGAAAAACAGAGCAAAAACTTTTTTCTCATGAAAAATTAACTCGTTAATTCAGAAAAACAGAGTAGATTTTTTTCTTCAAGTGAATGCAATATGCCTCCGTAGATAAGAGATCACTGTAAATTCAATTGTAAAGTGGACTCATGCATTTTCTGTAAATCTGCTTTGAAATGATGTGTATTGTGAAAAGCGCTATATAAATAAACGTGAATGTAATGTTAGTGTCTCACCTCGTGCAGTGTCTCGATCCCGAAGCTCCTGTTCTTTACGCTCCAGCTCTGCTGCTTTCTTCTCCAGCTCCGCTTGCTGACGGAGGAGATCCGCCTGTCCTGCTGCGGCACTGGCCTGATGGAGGAACCACACACACTTACACACTAACATCAACCAAAGATGCTGGACCCAAAGGGCGGGATTCATATTAAAAAAAAAAAAAAAAAATCATAATTTTTTTTTTACTTGTTATTTATAATACTTTTTCTTTTCTTTTTTGGTGTTTTGAGAAAATTTCAAAAATAAAAAAATATATAATTAGTATTAATGCAATAATTATGACCAAATTTTCCCCCATTGAATATAATAGAAAAAATATTTAAAAAATATATATATTTTTTTTTTTTTTAAAGCTGTATTTCATTTTAGAGTCAAGCCTAGGCCTCATAAAAGCAATTTTTGAAATGAGATGGATGCCATCTGGTGGACAAACTGAGCATTTTAAAAATGCAAAACACGTGTATAATCTGAATTTTTTGGTGTGTTTGTGTATAAAAGTGTGTTTGTGTTTGTGTGGATGTGTCTGTTTTGCACTCTTGATGTTTTATAGATTCACCCCTTCACTGTTGTGTGCTTTTTTTCAAGATCGTTGCTGGTTTGTACGCACACAAAAAAACTCAGTATTCTCACATTTTTGCCAATTTCCCATTCATTTTCCATGCGGGTGACTATTTTTTTTTACAACCACTTAGACTATTCACATCCTGTCCCCAATTTTTTTTGGGTGTTCATATACCAAATACCAACAAAGTCACCAAATTTCGGACCATTCCGAGGAAGCTGTGATGTAAAAAAAAATTATTTGAATTCTTCGGGTCCATTTGGGCCGAAGGACCCCAGAGGGTTAAAGGTGCAGTCTGTAAGAATGACAGCTAGTGGTGGGAACAGGTACTGCAGTCCAATTCAAAACGTCGTTTCTCCCGCCACCTGCTCCTCAGACTCGACGGCGCTCACACACGTTGCCAGTTTGAGCGCACGCAACAGGAACGAGCGCAATAGACAACGAAAATGAGCAAATCGACAACGTGCAGCATCACAGACCAAAACTATAATAAACAAACACACATTTCAAAATAAAAAAAATCTGGCTGTAGAAGAGTTTTTCAGAGAAACCAGAATGTGAACTTAACATGTTTCCTTGTTTGTATTTGCATGTGGAAAAGTTACATACAGCACCTTTAAAGAACTCTCACAATCTAAGAAAATGGCGATGGTGGACATGTTAATGTACGAATTGTGACTTCTGTGTACCGTTACACCCCTAGTAGCTTTTCCTCTTTCATGCCGAACTAAAACATTACGGTTGTGCATGAATATTGTAGTAACCTGTGGACTGGGCTCCACAGTCGTCTGGAGGACCGCTGGTTGAGAAGCGACTGACACAGGGATGGTGCTTCCACTCTGAATAAGAGAGAGGGAAAATATTCGATACAAACTCTTTGCTTGTGATTTCATTCGGTATAAAACACAAATGTTCCAGTGAAAAACTCAAAACTTTCTAAAGTAATATATTGCATTGGAAACTCAATCAAATATAGAAAAAAGAAAACAGAAATTAACTTCTCAAGGGATTCCAGTTCATCTACTGTAGTTTTCTATTTGATTCTTTTTTGAGCAATAATTTTTTTTTTTGACTTATTACAGTCTTGAAGATCTGAATAAATGTCAATCCCATTTCAAATTATGCAGCAGGATCGTTTGGATCCACATTACGACTGATATGCACGCACTGTGACACGAGGAACTGTTGATTTGCAGGATGAGGATTGGAAAGGGTCAGGCTTACCAGAGCAGTGGCTGTAAACGGGTTAAACTCTCCCACGCCATCGACTGCAGTGCTGGTCACCTGAGTGACTGATGGATCCTGGCAGGCAAAACAAATATCACTTGCCTATTCATTAAACACTGTTATGAACGGTTGTGGGTGCCAAAGCATTCTTTAAAGTGCCATGTACTACAGTATGACATCTCTCAAAATATTCCCGTCTGTTTTTCCCGTCTGTTTTTTGTGAATTATGCAGCCGACTATAGCAAGCCGTTTTATTCTTTCCAATGATATGATATTCTTGATATCAATAAGTCAATTTTCACTAGTCTTTGATATCAGGAAAGAGATTTCTAATAGTAACACAGGCAATTTTTGACATTAAATTTCCACCAGTAAAAAAAAAAGTGAACTCTTGATGTGATCAATGACGTCATGACATCAAATTCTTCATATCAAGAATTCAATTCAACCAGAGAAAACTGTAATTCTTGACGTCTGTAATTGTATTTTCACTAGTTAAATGTCACCAAAGGCTGCCATTCAAATTAATTGTTGCTAGAAATTTCAATTTCACATTTCAGCTATGCATTTCTTACTAGCAGAAATATAATTTTTGATATCAATAATAACTGTTACTAGTAAAGTATAAATTGCTGAAATGTACGGAAGACTATTGAATCCACTTGAAGAAAAAAAATCTACTCTGTTTTTATGAATTAACGAGTTAATTAACTCAGAATTACAAGATCATTTATCATTGAAAAAGTTTTTGCTCTGTTTTTCTGAATTAATGACATGATTATCTTAAAAACTCAAAAAATTAAATCATAAAAACAGAGTGAAAACTTTTTTTCCATGAAAAATTCTTGTAATTCTGAGATAATTAATTCGTTAATTCATAAAAACAGAGCAGATTTTGTTTCCTCAAGTGAAAGCAATACGCTTCCGAAGAAATGTATTCAACATATTCAATTTGTTATTTCTGATATCAATAAGTAGAGAGAGTAATTTCAGTCTTACCAGTAGCAATCACATTCATAAGACTAGTATTTTACTTTTCAAAACTGAAAATGTTTCTACCAGCAATTTAATTGATGATCAAGAACAGACAATTGCACCAACCATAATTATTGAAATACCTTTTTTCTAGTAAGAATTAGGCTATGTTTATGATATTTAAAATCTGAAATAATAAATCAATTCTCGATATCAACAGTTAATTTGATAGGTAGCCTATTATTAACTAATTAGTTTAACTAACTAGTAACTAAGCCTACATTTAACTAATGAAAACACAATTACAGACATCAAGAATGATAGTTTTAATATAAAGAACTCGTATTTCTGTGAGTAATTACGTCATTGTTGGAATCAATAATTTACATTTTTACTAGTAGAAATCTAATACCTTATATCAAGAATTAGCACTTGAACTCGTGAAAACTGAATTGTTGATATCTGTGAATGAATACAAAAGTCAACACGGCACGGCTTGAAGATGCACCTGTTGGATTTGAACACACACTTATCGCGTGAAGTGATAAATCAAAGTGTATGCCAAAACGCTTGGGTCTCTACATAATGGTGATAAACAGTATTAAAATGCTCACGACGCAGAATAAAAACTCGATTGTTATATTTAAAGGCAACTAAAAACAAAAAAACAAACACTTCCTGGATCGTCATCGGCAGGTGATTGGCTTGTAACCCGAACAGTGAAATTTGATTGGCTGAGCCCTCTCACCTTTCTCCAGTGACTCCGAACCAAACAAACAGGTTCACAGTGAAAAACTATTACTATATTACATATTACCAAAGGCATAATAAATCATTAGGTATTTACCTGGAAAGGATTGACATCAACAGGTTCGGCAAAGGGGTTGTTATCGAATCCAGACATCTTGTGGTGTGGCAAGCACAGGTGTTCTCGTGCTCCGTGTACCTGCCAGCGCAACTCACTGACCGCTGCTGCGCATGCGCGGTGCATTCGGCAATGACGTCACCGCCAGGATCCAGTTTGTTTGGATCTCATCTTCCAGCTCTGCTTACACACTACTTGAAATTAATACTTCTTGAGTTCTAATTCTGTAGACTTAAACTAATAAACGTGCAGTAACATAACATTTTAATAACGTTGTATTATGTGTAGATTTGCAAATGGGAAGAAAACAGGAAGGCGCTATTCACGAGACTCAACCTCTCTGGAGAAATCAAAATAACTCCGCACCTTTCCTTTGGCAGCAGTATTACAGGTTTAACAGCTCTTACGCAATTACTATGTCCTCAGGCCGGTGTCATGACAAATCGGGTCTCTAACAACTATTAGTTAATGATTATACTAGGTACATACGAACGATATTAATTTAAAATATGTATATGTTACTATATAGTGCATAATTGAACATTTCTTTCACTTGATAAAATGTTAATTAATGAATAAATACATAACCAATTAAGTGAATAATTCAACATCATTACATTCTTTTTTAAATGAATGATTTAGGCATTTAACAGGCAATTACAGTAACGGTGATTGTGAATTGCGTGTATAAACTAAGCTATTAGGCTAATCTGGCATCTGTATGCTATGCTAGTACTACTTTAACTAATTAATGGTCATATGTGGTCTCGATTTGTCACCACACCTGATGCACTCTTTTTGTTAAGCCCATAAAACACAAAATTTATCCTGTGACAACCGTTTTTAATTTGGACATTGCATTGGTACTTTAAAGCCTTTTTTGGCAGGCTCCTCCCACTAGTGGGCGTGTCATGTTCAATTATTTTAATACAGCTTTTCATGACAATACACATATTGTCGGAAAGGTCTGAAACTCAGCGTTACACATATGACAACTGATTTGTGATAGAAGTGTATTGATTTGTTACAGGAGTAACATAATAAAATTATATAGAATGTGTGTCATCTGGTGGCTATTTTTTGAATTAACCCTAAAATAAAATCCCATAGGAACTTGTGATATCAACAACTTGGTTAGAAATTATGTTTCAAAGATGTAGATGTTTAGTACAGTACATGAACAAACTTATTTTCACTGTTGGGTAAGTTACTCTAAAAAAGTAATTAATTACTAGTTACTAATTACCTCTTCAACAGTGTAATTAGATTACTGTACTAATTACTCTCTCTACAAAGTATTTAATTACTTTTAATTACTAATTACTTTTAAAATCCCATATCAATCTCAATCAGCTGAATAATACAAGCATAGACATGAATCTGTTTTAATTCTTTCAAATAAATACAATAAAATTGCATGAATTATCCTTAAACTGACCAAGGTGGCGAAGGTTACATTATAATAACATACTTTTTAACATCAGACAATACATTTTGATGTTAAACCCACTATTGTGTTATGTCTGATCTCATGACATTTCACACTTTTTTCATACATATTTTACAAGATGGCTAATTCATACGAATTTGTACGAGTGCGGTCGTACGATTTAGTTGTGAGATCGGATTGCTCTATACACAGTACACTCTCAGAAAAAAAGGTACAAAAGCTGTCACTGGGGCTGTACCTTTTCAAAAGGAAAACTTTTGTCCATTTTAGGTGCTAATTTGTACATTGTAGGGGCTAATATGTACATTTTAAGTGTTAATATGTACATTTTAGGTGGTGATATGTACATTTTAGGTGCTAATATGTCCATTTCAGGTGTTAATATGTACATTTTAGGTTCTAATATACATTTAGGTACTAATATGTACATTTTAGGTGCTAAGTACATTTTAGGTGATAATATGTCCATTTCAGGAGCTAATATGTACATTTTAGGTTCTAATATGTACATTTATGTACTAATATGTACATTTTAGGTGCTATACATTTTAGGTGATTATATGTCCATTTCAGGAGCTAATATGTCCATTTTAGGTCATAATATGTACATTTTAGGTGCTAATACGTACCACTAAGGTACCAATATGCAGCCTTTGGGTACAAAAGTGTACCTTTTGAAAAGGTACAGCCCCAGTGACAGCTATTGTACCTTTTTTTCTGAGAGTGTATTTACCTCAACTACATCAGGAGTAACTGTAATTAAATTACTAAAAAAAATGAAGAGTAATCCCTTACTTTAGATTTTCAATGGAAAAGTAATTAAATTACAGTAACTAATTACTTAGTAATTAGTTACACCCAACACTGCTTCTTTTACACTTTCATTTCAGCAGTAATCTGTGGAGGATCACCTTTAAAAAAAAGAGTTATCAATCATTTCCATTCGAATGGTGCATTTGTAACATCTACGCTCAGAAAGTCACGCATTTAAACAAGGAGAGACTCGAGCGTGATGAACAGGTCAATCAAGAAATACAAAAAACTGAATGTGGGCGGAACAACTCGCAACAAACCAGTACTCATTTGTTCAAAATGTGTAATTTATTTTACATCTCCTTCTCTTTCATAAGAAATATTTGTTCAACACATGACGGAAGACAAATCAGTTTGCTGAATCCTGCAGGCGGCGTGACCAGTGTCAGCGATAACAGAATATAAATTAACACACACACACACACACAGTACACCTGTGAAAAACACCGTCACATGCAGAAACCCTCCACGAACCGTGAGACCACAGTTTAACAAGGGATGGAAGCGACAGATGCTCGATTTTGCTGGTGGCACAAGAATTTTATAACTATCCTAATAATCAAACGCTGCAGTCGAAAGCGAGCGGTGTCTCGAATCCAAATGCACTTCTGTGGATTACTATAGCCATGGTTTTTAATTATTAAATATTTAGAAAAAGGATAGGGTGTATCGCACTAAATATACAGGCAGAGGAGACCATTCGGTAATATATTAAGTCATATTTTAGTCATTTTCTGGCAAGAGGTAATTCAAGAAAAGTAACGCGGATTGTATCTATATAAAAAGGTAAGTAACAGCGGCTTTGTGTTTTAACACTGGTTTCTTTGAGGCAGAAAGAGCAGGGATGGATTATGACTTAATAATACACTGTGTGGCGAGTCTTCGTTTAGCGTTGGGATCCTCTGGCATTATGACACCAGTTAGCTTGGTCCCTTTAATGGCATCGTTTCCCTCCAAGCACAACACACAACCAGAGGTTGTCACACACTTCTCTCTCGATATAATATATGAATTCAACAACCCAGCGATCACTGGTGCTCTGGCTTTGTATATTTATATATAGATTTATATGTCAATAAAATAGGATTGGGGGGGCAAACACATCTGCTCGCGTGATTCTACATTGTAAACGTTAAAGCAGCTCGAGTTCATCGATGGCTTCGTCGTCGGAACGTCACGGAACTCCCGATCCGAGATCAAAGGAGAACGTTCCGTTTCGGAACGTTTCAACATTCCCTTTTCCCTGCTTCGGGAAGCGCCGTTCCTCTCGACGTGGCACTTAAGGACTATAATGCAGCAATTCTCTGGGGACGGACGTCTTCACACCATGAACTCGTTGCTCCCGTACACCACCACCTGCGCGGCCGGCAGATCCGGGTCCCTCTTCTCTCCGCCGGGATTGTCCCGCTGTCTCTGAGGCGAGCTCTTGACGCCCTGCAGACGCTGTTTGCCCTTCTCTGGGTTGAACGTGCCTCGGCTGGTGAACTGCGCTCGCTCCTCGTCGTCGTGGTCCAGGCCGTCGGACGGGTGTGATCGGGGCGAAGGCGATTTGGAGCGCAGCCGTAACCTCTGGGTTCTGCTCGGCTGCATGTAGGAGGACGACACGGAGGACACGGTGGAACTGGAGTCGACGGAGTCCAGGGATTCGGGCTGTTTCCGCAGGACTCTCCTGCTCTTCGCTTCGGACTTCTTGGGCCTCGAGACGGCCAGCGCTGGGCCTCGCTCTGAGGACGGCAAACATTAACACCATTAACAACCAGCAACTTAAAGTACAAGTGCTACTGACTATATATATACTGTATATAGTATGGTATATATATATATATATATGGTAGTATGTATATATTATTGCTGGGCAACTATTAATTATTTAATTGCATCAAAAATAAAAGTTTGTGTTTATAATTGTGTTTAAAAAAAAAATGTCTGTGTTCTGTGTAATTAATTTGTATATATAAATACACATATGCAAGTATATTTTTAATAAAAATTGCATGTATTTACTGTATATATATATGTAAATATTTTATATATAAATAACGCATTTTTCTTAAATATATACATGCTTGTGTGTATTTATATACACAAAATAATTATACACAGTACACAAACATCATATAACAGAAACTTTTATTTTGGATTTTATTTTGGATCTATATATATATATATATATATATATATATATATAAATATAAAATTAAAAAATAATATATATATATATATATATATATATATATATGTGTGTGTGTATGTATATATATATATATATATATATATTATTGCTGGTCAACTATTAATTATTTAATTGCATCAAAAATAAAAGTTTGTGTTTACAAAAAAAATGTGTGTTCTGTGTAATTAATTTGTATATAAATACACACATATGCATGTATATTTTTAAGAAAAAATTGCATGTATTTACTGTATATATATATATTTTTTGTATATATATATTGTCAATATTGTTTGTTTTTGCTCAGTTTCACCAATGAAAATATATATAAACATGCTGTATTAATGTATATACAGTCAAGTGCATGAAGTGTTCCACACTTGGTTTTGTCATTTAATAAAGTGCATAATCCAGATACGTATTGGAGTATTGGAAACTCCCCAGGAGGACTTGAAGGCAGCATTAGTTACTCACCCGAGAAGTCGGAGGCGGCTCCCTCAGAGTCCACATTCAGGTTTTCCGAGCTGTCCGCTGTGCCGATGGAGGCTTCGGACTCCAGGGTCTCGTCATCGGACGCCCGCGGCTCCAGAGCGAGCATCTCGAAGGTCAACTCCTCCCTATGAGGACCATCAAAACAGATCTCAGGCTTTGGCTAAGGGATTCACTGAGGGATACTAGTTCTCTGACGCACAGCAGCGCCACACTCTG